CAACTGGCTGGGACACTTCCTTGTCCAGGTAAACAGCAGGACATGGTCTACCTCATCGTGTCATCTAATGAAAAGTCGAAGCTCTCACCTTTAGCCAAAATCTACCTTCTTGAAAATGCATGTATCAGGTACACTGTGCTCCAGGTGATGAGGAGGGTTCTGCCCTTGGTGCCCGAGGTGTTTCTCCAGAGCTTGCCTTATACACCCTCTGTTATAGCTCCTGCGAGGCAGAGCCCACAGCCTCAGGCTACGGCACTGCAGAGTCTGTGCTCTTAACCATCACTCTGCACTGCCTTGCAGGTAAGAGTGGAGGTGGAGAAGGAAGGAATGCGGGCTGTGCTACCAGCAGCCACCACCTTCCCCCAAGGGATGGTAACTGCAAGGACGCTGAGCAGGAATCAGTGGGCTTGGGCGGCTCAACATTTGAACCCTAGTAGATATGTCGGGAGGCCCTTTTCCACTGAGAGCATTTCAAACATTGAATTGCCTTTCTCTTATTTCAGTACACGGTATTATAGAAAACTCTCCTTTCCGTTTTCCCCTCAAATTTTCTCATTTTTTTCTTTTAAAATATCCTGTCAATTATTATGTTACAAACAAAATTAGGTTGCAAATAAGTAACTAAGAACCCTAGTCATACCGTGTGCAATTGTCTTTCTGCCTTTTTCCATATATTATCTAAAATTCTGTGTTTAAGTCTGTGTTTTATATTTTCTCAATTAATTTTACTTCAATGAAATTATGTCAGTTAGTAAGATTACAAGCAAAATTAGGTTGTAAACGAATGGACAAAGGTCCTTGTCATCTCCTGTGCATGGTTGGTGGGGGAAGGATGGGATAAGGATTTGCCATTTCTTTTGTTTTTTTTTTGTTTTTTTTTTTTTTTGAGACAGAGTCTTACTCTGTTGCCCAGGCTGGAGTGCAGTGGTACGATCCCAGCTCACTGCAACCTCTTTCTCCCAGGTTCAAATGATTCTCCTGCCTCAGCCTCCCGAGTAGCTGGGATTATAGGTGCGCGCCACCACACCCAGCTAGTTTTTGCATTTTTGGTAGACAGAGTTTCACCATGTTGGCCAGGCTGGTCTCCAACTCCTGACTTCAGGTGATCCACCTACCTTGGCCTCTGCTGGGATTACAGGCATGAGCCACAGTGCTCAGTCGAGATCTACCATTTCTTACCTGTGTCTATGTTTCCAGCATCAAATTCTAGCCTGCTCATGGTGGCTGCCCAGTAAATATGTTCAGGTACTTCTGTGGCTGGGCAGGTTGATAAAAATTGGCAGGAGCACCGGCACTGCTATTGTCCCTGAATTCATTTTCTAGGCTTCCTAGAAGTAGGAACTACTGAAAGGGACCACATGCAGTATGGCAAGCTTGTGTTATTCGCTTAAACAAGAACCGTCATGAAGGCAAACATTCTTTACTCTTAGAATGAAATACCTAGGTTTAGCTTGGTACTTCACTGAATGTTTTAGCACAGGGTACTAACACATTTTTGAGTTCGGGAATTGGTGAGAAGAGCTGGGTAAAGAAGGACCTAAACTTTTTGCTTCCCAATATGTGCAGTCAAATCAGTAGCCTCGGCACTGGACAAATTCCAGAGGAAGGTCTCCTCATGAGGACAGAGGCTTCTGATGAGGGAGTGACATCCTGGGATTCCCAGCCATCCATCTAAAGTCATGGCTGAGGGCTGAATGTGAAGCTTTATTGCTTGGCCAGTGACCAGTGATTGCTGCATATACAGAGGGAAAGTTGAGATGATGTGACACCTCCCAGAATGAATGGAGTGAGATGCCCTGAGGCTAACCCTGGTTAAGATGGGAGCCCTTGGGTTTCTCCAGCCCATTCCCTAGTTACCTATTTTAACTCTGTCTCTGGTCCCTTTCTCTCAATCAATTGTTCAAATGAAGATTTTGCTCAATTCATTGTCTTAAAATACTGAAATGCTTTAAAATACAACATCTTTCCAATGTGATTTATTGTAGTGGAAGATAGAGTAAAAGACTTCACATTTTTCAGGAGTTAAAGGAGTGACTATCTAATGGTGGAATCTCAGGTGGGTAAAGTAGAGATTTGGGGGTCATTACTCAATTTCAAACAGAAAGATGTTTAGTTCACTGAGAAACATCCCTTGAAAAAAATAGCCTGAGCTAAGTACATTCTTGCATGAAATATGGATATATAGTTATCTTATCAGCAGTCCAGGTCCTTATTCTGGTGCCCAGGAGTCTGGGCCCCTGAGCTGCTGCAATGCTAGTCGCCCTGGGAACAGTAATTTCTGGTGGTTGTCTTAGCTTGCGTGTGAGCTAAGCTTGGAATGAACTCTCTGTGTCAGAAAAAGAGACACTGGATTCCAATATGAATGTCATATTTCTGGTCCGGCTAGATCCTGTGAGAAACCATACTTTTTCCTTTAGGTATTCCTCAGGAACAAGTGCAGTGCTTGGCACAGAGCAGATGCTAAAACCTCTGTATCCCACCCCTGGATATTATAATTAACATTTGTTCTTCTGACAGTTCTCTTTTTCCCTTGTCTTGTTATTAAAGGAACAACTCTGGTTGTATTGCCTTCCTTCCTTCCTTCGTTCCTTTCTTCCTTCCTTCCTTCCACTCACTCATTTGTTCGATTCATTAATACATTTGTGACCAGATTGGTCCTGGGGCTAACTCTCAGGTTTGCTTTTTACTGATTGTGCATGCTTTGGCAATAATAGCTAATAAGAATCCTAACTACCTTTAAAGCAATAATTACGTTCAAGGCAGTGAGTTAAGTACTAAGCTTGGTTTTTTATTTGTAAATGAATACACCAATAACTACTTCACAGGATAAAATGATATATGTCAAGTGCTCGGCACAGAACTTGATAAAAGGAAAGCGTTTAATAAAAGGTAGTCATTACCTTGTGAAGATCTAGTGTGCTCTTGGCTAGGTACCATACTAGGAACCACTGCCAAACAGAACTGTGAGTAGTTGACCTATATCAGCGGTTCTGAATTGGAAGAATCAAGTCCTTTATGTCCAGTACTATTGAAATCTTGTTCAGAAACATGTTAAGAAGCTCTGACGCACTAGATATTTCCTAAGCTTTTGCCAGGGAGTTACCCACACCCCACTTTGAGATGAGAAATATAATTGAACTTAGTATTTGGCTGTGGCCACTGTAGGGATTTCTAAGGTATTGAGAAGTTGGTCTATCTGGAACTATCAGTACCAAATGTTCATTTGAACTCTTTTTTCTTTCAGCTTCATTGAAGAATAATTGATAAATAACAATTGTGTACATTTAAGGTGTACAAGCAGATGTTTTGGTATATTTAATATGTACACATTGTGAAATAATCACATCCATCAAGCTAATTAACATATCCATCACCTCACATAGTTACAATTTTTTCCAATGATGAGAACATTTAAGATCTACCCTCTCAGCAAATGTCAAGTATATAACAGTATTGCTGACTATAGTTCCCATGAGTCCATTAAATCTCCATAACTTATTCATCCTACAACTGAAAGTCTGTGCTCTTGACCAACATCTCTGCATTTCCCCCACCCCCTGACCTGTCTTGTAACCAACCACCCTTCTACTCTCTATTTCTATGAGTTTGGATTTTTAGGTTCCATAAATAGGTGAGATCATACGGCATTTGTCTTTCTGTGTCTGGTTTATTTCACTTAACCTAATGTCCTCCAGGCTCATCCGTGTTGTTGCAAAGGGCAGGATTTCCTACTTTTCAAGGCTTAGTAATATCCCATTGTGTACATACACATCACATTTTCCTTATCTATTCATCTGTCAACTGACATTTAGGTTGTCTCTGTATCTTGGCTATTGTGAATGATGCTGCAATGAACATGGGAGTGTGGATACGCCAATGTGGTGCTGATTTCACTTCCTTTGGGTACACACCCAGAAGAGGGATTGCTGGGTCATACGGTTTTTTGAGGAACTTCTGCACTGTTTTATGGCTGTACTAGTCTACATTCCCACCAATGGTGTGCAAGGGCAGCCTTCACTCTATATCCTTGCCAACACTTGTTATGTTTCAGCGCTTCGAGAATAGTCATTTTAACAGGTGTGAGACAATATCTCTGATACTTTCTTAATTTGGTATGAGATAAAGGAAACACTGAAACCCATTTTGGGACAGTGGAAGGCAAGTGCTCACCCGACATTACTATGCTCAAGGCTCCTCTGCCTTCTGATCACACCCTTGCTTTTCTCAGTGCTTATTACTAATGCTTTCTTGTTGAGTGGAATCTGAGATGGACCCCTCTATGATCCGTCTTCAAGCTCACACCAGATAGTGAGCATAGTACCCAACAGACGGATTGTTTCAGCCCTTACCCCCCTTCCTTCCTTCCCCTTCTTGTATTTCCCAGTATCTACTGTTCCCATGACAGATAAATTCATACTCTAAACTCCAGAATCATGCAATATACCTACGTAACAAACCCGCACATGCAGTCCTGATTCTAAAAGTTGAAAAGAAAAGAATAAAAAGCAAACCTAAATGTTCATCAACACCATGAATAAGTGGCTAAAGAAAATGTGGTATATCTACACAATAGAATGCTCTTCAGCCTTAAAAGAGAATGAAATCCTGTCATTTGGGACAACATGGATAAACCTGGAGGACATTATGTTAAGTGAAATAAGCCAGTCACAGGACAAGTACTGCATGATTTTACTTATATGCCAAGCATAAAAAAGCTGAACTCTTAGAAGCAGAGAGTAGAATGGTGATTACCTGGGGGTGTTGGGGAACTGTTGGTCAAAAACCATAAAATTTCAATCAGACAGGAGGAATAAGTTTAATATATCTATTGTACATCATTATGACTACATTTAATAATATATTGTTTAAAAATTACTGAGAGTAGGTTTCATGTGTTCTAATCACAAAAATATAAGTATGTGAGATAATGCATATGTTAAATAGCTTGATTTAGCCATTCCACAATGTATGCATATATCAAAATACAAATACATTTTGCATACCATAAATATATAAAATATTTACTTGTCACTTAAAATAAATTAATAAAAGATTAGGAAGAAAAAACACAGAATCACACCAAATAATACACAAAGATGGGAAGAAAATTATAAGATGTTTATGAAATAAAGGGCGACTAAATCAATGACGCTCAGAATATTTTGTCATTATCTTCTGTTGTCTTGTCATTATATTGTTTTGTCATTATCTTCCATTATCTTGTGTGATTGCTCTGGTCTTTAGGTTCTGAATGGTCTGGCGTGCCTCTGAATTATGTGGGAATACCATGATGCTTTTGTAGACTGATGTAGTCATATGTTTGGTTTCCACCAGTCCCCATCTGTGGTCTGACTTTCTGCAGCAACGTTTCTGCCAAATAGCAACATCATGATTAAGGACGTGGCCTCTGGAGCCATCTGGCTGTGTGGCCTCCAGCTGCATGACTTTAGGAAGGTTGTGTGGCTTCTATGTGCTCCGTTTGTCTCATCTATAAAATGGGGACAATAAGGGTCTCTGTCTCAGAGGCTTTATGGAAATGAAATCATTAATATTTATAAGGAAACTAAAGACAGTGCTTGAGAAATACAATGCAAGCCCAACTTTCACAGGAACACTCCCATGGGCAAACCCCTGCTTTCTTGAAAGAGGACATCTTTCAGGCCAGAAATTTCTCTTTGGTACTCAACAGAAGGGTCTTTCCTTTTGTTTCTCCCCATTGGCCCTGGCTCTATCCTAAGAGGCCACAGATCAAATGTAGTTGGTCTTCCCTATGCCAACCCTTAATTTGTAAAAAGATCAAATGAATATGAAGCTAGTTACTTCTCTTGGAACTGTCTGGGTCACCTTCTGAAATTCCTTCAGTTCTTGTCTGTCTCCAAGTGCAGTGCCTGGATGGCACCCTTGTTTATAGGAGCAGAGCTGAGCGCAGCCTCCCACATCCCGCCCTTTGGAGTTCCTTAATGGATCCTTACAGGACTTTGCAGCAATATGTAGTTTTTGTTTTGGTTTTTGCACCTCAGTGGGATTTACATTTAACTTTATCATCTGTCTCATTGGGTGCTCTCTTTCTTTAGATTTAGAAGGCCTGTGTGCAATTGGGACAAGGCAAATACTTTACCATCAAATAATTCAAAGATGTTTTCTCACACTCAACACTTGTGAGATGACTTATCACTTAAATCCTGAGAGTCATCATCAGATTTTCCCTTTGTCCTCTATTCCAATCTTAAATTTTACATACTGATAAAAAAAATCCAAAGTATTATTTAAAATGGTTTAATTTACTTAAGTTTATCATTCTTAACTTCTTTATTACATGCTTATATATATTTATAATTATTTTATGTACATATGTATATATAATTATGTCTTATTTATATAAGTACATATAATAAAATATATTACTATGTGTGTTCACATATAAAATAATTACATATGTATAACTGACTACTGAAATAAAGTGCAAATTACATTATTTATGTTAAGGTATAGTTCAGCTTGTCTGTCATGAGCTTCTTGATGAAGAAGTAGATAGACACATCTCTCTCCGGTCCTGTCTTGCTAGAGTATCATGGGTCCATTCCTCCTGTTCCATGTTACTGCTTCCATCCTCCTTAGGGTCCTCATTAATTCCTTCCTAATAGTCGTCAGCTCACATGCCCCCTCTTTCATGACTCTGTCCCCTGTGGTCCAGATGGAATTAATCTCTCTGGGCTTTGAATCTGATATTTTGTGTGCCTATTGTATTAGGTTTCTTCTTCTGCTTTGTTATAGTTATTGCCATCTGTTCCCCCAAGTTGGGTGGTAAGATTCTTGGAGGTGGGAACAATGTATCCTTGTTCTGTCGAGTCCCCACCTTGTCACCCCAGCACCTGGCACTATGCCTGCTCAGTGAAGGAAAAGTTGAAGAGCCCAGCCCCTCCTTTCAGGTGTCAGTGGAGTTTCATCAATAGGCCACCTGAGCCACTCAGAAGTCAACTGACCTGCACCTTGCAGAGTTCACAAGTAGCAGGGAATTAAAGGTTTATCATTTACCTTCTATTTGTACATCTTAGGATAATTTTCCAATATCAAGACTTTTTGACCTCCAGATGTCCTGGTTGCTGCCATACAGACCTACTGCTTGTGTACCTGGTAAAAAAGTGTTACGTGTCTTGGTGTTGAACTTCTCATCCACAATAATTCACTAAGACACAATGACACAATCACTCGTGGACCCAATGCAAATGACAGCTCCTCAGGAACAGACTCACCAGTTGTAGCTGAAGGTACTGCGGACTTGGCGATTATTAACTGATGTTTGACATACTTGAAAAATAAGAAGCTCACAATTTGTACTCCCTTCAACCACTGAGGCTGGGATTTCATTATTTCGGGCTGCTTCTCTGAAAGGCGATTTTTGGACCGTCACTCTAGTCACACGGATTTTCTCATTAGTAAACGATTGCCATCAGCCCTTCTCAGAGGACCCATTTCCGTGTCTGCTCTGCTCTTTTCTTTCTCCTGATGTCTTTGATCATGGCACGTGCCATCTGTCCTGGGAGGTACAGACATTCTAATAGTTCAGACCACAGTGTGTGTGGCTGGGCGAGGGCCATGTAGACCCCAAGGGCCCAGCTGCGTGTGCAGCTATCTTCTCCATGATGAGCTTTCACAGATGAGTGGTGGATCTGGAAGTTGCAGTAATGACTCATCTTGGTTAAGTCTGTTTTGGCTCCAGTCCTCTTTGCTTTGGTCCATGTTATCTGTAGCTTTAGAACTCCCACTAAAAGAGCAGAATTATCTAAATTTCCATTTGACATTTTCCTTTACAATTGTTTTGACATCTCCATTTAGAAATTTCTTTTCTTGTTAAAGCTAGATTGGAAAAGTGAATTTCTAGACAAGTCTTGCCTGTCTCAAAGCCTGAGGGTTGGTGCTCAACTTGTTTAACTGGAGAGCATCTAATCCAGTTACTGTCCATCAGGAAGGGCAACCCAATGCTTTCTGAGTCCCACAGGCCTCTTTCCCAGGCCGACTCTGGCTTCTGTCTTCTTTCCTCTGACTTTTGGGGAAGACCAGACAAGGCCAGCATGCCTGAGTTGCACTTGATTCTAAACTCACACTTCCCTGCATGGCTCTGGGAAAACTTCTGTTGTGTGGTGAGCACTGGTGGGCAGGCAGCTCAGAAACTTCCCGGCGTCTCCACATCATGAAGAAAATGAATCAACATGCTTCTGTTCTGGTTATAGACACTTTGGTTCCAGTTGCTAAATAGTCAACAGTATTGCCAGTTCTAATTTTCTTCCAGTGAATCCTAAGACTTGCCGATATCACCCAGGCACCCGGTTTACTCTCTCTATTGCATAGTTTGTAGTCTGTTTTGCTTGATTTTAATCCTCTGTTAAGATATAATTTCATTCTCCTAAAAAGCTAGATTTTTGTAAATACACACATTACCATAATAAATATTTAAATAGGGAAAGGAAGTTATGGGCTAGATTTGGGCTCACAGTAACAACATTATTTTTTTCCTAAAGAAATACAACAATAAAATGAATTTTTATTACTGCAAGTATATTTAGACAAAGCAAAGGTAAACACTTCCTTATTTCTTTTTACTCTTAACATGCTGAAGCTTCCACGTTTCCACTAGAAGCCGACCTTGCCACCAGCAAGCACAATATGCAGCTTTAACAATTTCAGAATCCTTAACATTCTTCAAGGGACCAAGCCTTTCAGAAGAAATGGCTGTGTGTTCTTGTGCCTCCAAAAGGTTTTTGTTGCTTGCCTGCTGATCTTTGTTTTTCAGGTAAGCTCTATAATAAATTGCACTCCTTAATTAATAATATTGCGAGTTCATGTAATACATGCAATTGCTTTATGTGCTTAATTTTCACAGGAATTGTGTGTGATAGGCACTCTGGTATTTTCCTCATTCTATAGATGAGGGAAGTTGGCATAACTGACTTGCCCAACATCAAGCAGCAGAGGCAAGGCCTGAGCCTCCAACCCTTTCCCCACCTTCCCCACATTAGGCCACATGATTCTCAGACTTGTGCAGTAGGCTTGACTCCACTTATGTATCAGGATGTTGTATACCGTGAAGCGCGTGCAGTATCTATGCATGGCTGCGGATGCTGTGATGATCAGGTCTGAGAAACGTTTTGCTGAATTATAAACTGGCTTTAAAAGTTTTAAACACCTTTGCCATTTGTACTACTTATCACTGGAATGTATAAGTCAATTCCAATTGTTTTGAATCTTTTTTTTTACTTTTATTTTTCCTTTAATTAAAAATGTTTTTATTCTCATTGTGTGTAATCAAATCATTTACAAATATTTTACTATCGAAAATTTCAAACACATACAAAGCAAGCAGAATGGTGACATGGACCTTGACACACCATCTCCCAGCTTCAGTGATGATGAGCCTTCTGCCGTTCTTGTCCCCCCCATACCTCTGGTCACTGCCTGCCTCACTCCACTGTTATCGTTATTTACAGCTCTTTTTAAAGTGACACTTACGCACATTGAAATGCACACATTTTAACTGTACAGTTTTGACAGATTTATCCATCTGTGTCATCACCTGACACAATATTGAATATTTCGGTCTCTTCCCTCCCAGTGAATTCCTGCACAGTCACCACCCCCATCCCTGCCCAAGTCACCACCCTTTTGGCTTCCATCTTGGATTCGTTTTGCCTGTTCTAGAACTTGCCGTAAATGGTATCACATAGTGTGTGTGCTTTTGTGTCTTGCTTTACTCACTCAGTAGTGTATCTGTGAGATTTATCCACATCGCAGGGATCAGTAGCCCATTTTTGTCTACTGTTGCTCAGTATTCTATACCACAGATTATCGATTCTGTCAGTGATAGACAATGGGTGTTTCCAGCTTTCATTCATTGTGAATAAAGTTGCCGTGAATACTCAAGCATCTTTCCATAAATTCCTTTCCCCAACACAATATTTATTTGGGTAATGTGCATATCTGTAACATTTATTTAAATAAATTTCTCATGGATAAACACTTAGGATATGTAAATGGTGAACTTTATCGGAAACTGCCACTTTTTCCAAAGTGGTTGTACCATTTTATATTTTGTGTAGAGACAGACAAGAGTTCACGTTGCTCCCTTTCCTTGCCAACATTTGGTTTATTAGTCTTATCCATTTTCACCATTCTAGCAGACGGCCATGATATCACATTGTGGTCATTGATTTGTACCTCCCTGGCAACTGATGACAAACACACTAGTTTTTGTGGTTATTGATCATTCATATCGCTTCTTTTGTGAAATGTCTGTTCCATCATTTTGCCTACATTTACATTTTGTTGGGTTGTTTGTCTTTCTATTATTGAGTTGCATGAGTCATTATGCATTTTGGATCTGAGTCCGATATACGTTTTGTCAAATACTTGGGGTTTGCCTAATTATTATAATGATGTCCTTTGATGAGCATCAGTTTTTAATTTAGATAAGTCTAATTTATCATTTTTAAA